TTTTAGCACGTTGCCCCCTCCCTTTTTTTTCGAATTGAAGAATCGAATCCAATTGAGAATGAAGCTGTCGGTGTTTGTTAGTCTTATGTGGAAGCACCATGCAATCGCCCCTTGTTCTCGTATGAAAGCTACTTTCCCTTAGCTCATGTAATGAATTACGGTGAACTGATGTAGAGCATCAGCTGACCGTAATTCATTACATGAGCTAAGGGAGAGTAGCTTTCATACGAGAGCAGTATAAAAGCTACTCCTCCATTAGCAGTAGGTTCAGTGGAGCTAGATTAACCTTTATCCTCCTTTAGTCTAATCCAACACTATTTTGCATGATGGAGAGCTCGTATGGGTAGGGCGGCATTTGCTCCCTTGACCGGTATCACCTGTCGCTAAGTCGCCGACTTTTGCCCCGCCCTTTTTCTGGATTTTTTTAGGTACGCGACATCGCTCAGTACGCGGACTCTGTTTTGATGTCCTTTTCGGAAAGGTGTTGGTGAACCTATCGGTTCAATGCTTGTTGGATCAAAATCGTTCATCGACAAGGCTCGGCGGAAGTCGGGAGGTTTGATACCTTTTTTGTACATCCGAAGACTTGCATTTAGGACACTGACGACAGCGTGACGCGGCTGCGCGTCACGTTTCGGTGCTAAGGGGACTCATTTTTCTTCATTTATCTGGAATTTCTTATGTTCCCAAGCAATTCTTGTGCTTTCTCGGATTAGGGAAGTGATACGCTCTTCAACAGTATTGGAATTAGTAAAGGGGTTAATAATGATTATGAAAAAGAATATAAAAGAAGCCGAGATGCACGCATAATGGCTATCGTCAATGTGTTAACTATATTACCGAAGAGTGAACGAGTTGGACGCCCATTTGCATTTACGCCACGCAGTTGGCTTCTACGTCAAAATCTGGGACCACATTTGCTTTTTTGCTGCTCCTCGATGGATATATAAGTGCTGCGGAAGTAGGTATTCATCGGACACTGTAGGTCATCTTTTTGGCGTTGAAGAAGTGAAAGACGGACTAAAATGGGCACTTCGCTCTGGGCATGTGTGGCAAGTCACTTATTATGCTGACCTGGAATCACTCATTATGCTGTTAGACTACTTCACCTTCTCTTCGGGGGATCCTTCATTTTTAAACAGGAAGGTGAGGGACCACTCAGAGGAGGGACCACGAGGCTCCAACAGAGTATGCCCGTGGGCTTGGCCTGGAAGTTAATATAGGCGTGTTGAGCCCAGAAGGTCCTCTACCCACGATTCGGTATTTCTTTTCCAATTTCAACTTACCGCTATACTCTCAGCCAGGGTCAACCATCGTTGGTTCAAGAATTGTGGGGAGTATCCTCTGGAAGGCCCCGGGGGAGGAGAGGGATGAGGGAAGGGAGGGGGTGAAAAGGTGTTTCGGAGGGGGGGGGGGGGGCACTCACAATATCTAGTCGGCGTGGCAACACCGAACCGAAGTGGAGTTGCGGAAGGGCGGTCATACCCAATCATCGTCGAGCACAGGCTCTGAGTGCACGACTACATATGTGGATACCAACCCGATTTCGAACAAAATCGGAGTACCTGGCAGGCCTTTCGCCTCAAGAGCTTGCACTCGCAATCGCAAGAAGTGGTTGAAAAAGAAAGTAGCAGCAATATTCCAGTCCGTTTTCCGCGAGCTTTGAATAAGTGATTGACAGGATAGTAAGTGTGACATACTGATTGTTTGTCGCTTACTCAGTGAAAAGATAGGATAATATGAATGTACTCCCGCAACTCAACTTCGATTAGGTGGGAGTGTCATCTACTCTACTTCGAATAGATAGGTGCCCCCCCCCCCACCTCCGAACTAAATTTTTACCGGGAAGGGGTTCTAACACAGTAGGAACGGCAATTATATTCGTTTCCAATGCCTCTTCCGTTGAAAACCTCCCCATTATCCCTTCCGCAACTGTGGCTCCATCTAACCAGGGAAGGCATTCAACTTCCCATGGAACTTTGAATTGAGACCCAGATATATCGATAGAGCTTCAAACGCTGATTACAAATATGGAAACTAAAACTGCAAAATGAACCTGCCAAGGAAGTTGTGAGCAGTCAAAGTTGGCTGGAAGTAAAGCATTACATATGAACCGTGCTAGTTCCAGGCTTTCAGAGTCGCCGCGGAGTAGTGGTAGTGCCCTCGCTCTTCACCCGGGAGGTCATAAGTTCTCTTCCCGTTGGAGTGCAAATTTTGAGAGCACTACCACTACTCCACGGCGACTTTGAAAGCCTGGAGGCTAGCACGGTTAATACGTAACGCTTTACTTCCAGCCAACTTTGACTGCTCACAACTTCCTTGGCAGGTTCATTTTGCAGTTTTAGTTTCCATATTTGTAATCAGCGTTTGAAGCTCTATCGATATATCTGGGTCAAAGTTCCATGGGAAGTTGAATGCCTTTTCCTGGAAAGTGCCTCAAATACGACCTTATTTTTCAAAAAAAAAACAACCCTTCACTTGTTAATGCCCAACAGACAGTTGCCCTGCTCTTCATCATCATTCATCCTCATTCTCGACCGCTATTCGTACCGGGTGCGTAGAAACGCAGGTCGCACATCTTCCAAGCCGCTCTGCTTTGGCACATCATGAAAGGTCATGCTGTTCAAGACGGTTCACATTTGGGCATTCAGGCATATTCCTCGAGCCGCGTCGATACTCTACAAACTTTAGCCAGCTGCTAAGGTAAAAAATGTATATGGATCACAACGGAATGTGTGCACTCCCGTCAGAATTGCTCACTGTCAAACAGCAGACGTTGTTGCCCCTGTGCCTTTATAAAGCTCCGCTAAATTTCAGCCAGTGGGTGATGGATGGCATGCTGATATACACGCGGCCGCAGCACATATTGTTCTCGACAAAGCAGAGAGTACCATAAAAAGAGACCAAGCCAACGCAAAGAAACTTGCCTCTGGTATCAACGCGATAACACCGGAAAAATTCAAACATGTACGTTTGCGGAGAAAAAGGCTTTAATCGCAACTGCCATCACTCAAGTAAAATGTTCCAGACCATCCACGCTCCAGATGTCGGAAATACGAACATAGTCATATTAGAATGTTGCAACGGTTTATCTCCAACACAGGTGAGTTCGAAATAATTCAACGTTCGGCATTGATTAGTCCCTTTTGGGAATGCGCCACGCATTCGACTTCCATTGGAATCGTAAAGCATTTGAATGCAGATCCGGCTTATACAACGAAATGCAAGTCTAGTTGACATATAGCTAAGGGAGTAAAGGGTTTCATCATGCAAGACGAGTCTGCTGTTGGTTTGTCGATGCACGCTGATCGGCGACTGATTGGCCAGAAATTGCTCGAAAATTCTCTTTTTCCTGAGTAGTAGCAGCGCGATTTGTCTGTATCCTATCTCCACCCACCACGTCTACCCCTCCGGGTTACTGTTGCCCTATCTGGCAAAAAGGTCGAATGTTTGCTACCGATTGATTCTTTGGAAGTCCATGTTTCAGCCACAGATAGAGGCCCTGCATAATAACCATTACGTTTATTAAATAGAATATTGTCCGAGCTCAAGGAGCCTTCCATTTCTCCGAGGTCAGCAAGTGTAAATTTCGAAACAAGAAAGCCTACATACTCCTGTTACTGTACTCACAAGAAACTACGTAATAGAAGATAAGGTGAGGGATTCTTTGGAACGTTTGCAATATGAATTGGACCATTTGGAAAACTCAAATTGGAATGCCCCCGAAAGGAAAACCGAACGATAATCATACGCTATTCCAGAAGTCAGCAAACCTTACATAGATTGACTATCAAATTAAGGCATGGGAGCATAATTGTGTTGCAGCCCTCGCGCAGAAAACTCCAAATCTCCTTTCATTTGTCCCCTGGCTAGAGCTTTCACTGTTGTTTCGCCAGTGTTAAAGGCAAAGGTCGGGCTCAGGCACGCTAGAGAAGTAATTCCCGTGCCTGGAGGTTGTATGTGGGTAGCTGCACACATTGCAGCAACTTCCCACCTTGAAAAACCCCGTTAAGGCCCCGGGGCGTTCGGTTTCAATCCAGGGCCGCCCACCTCCGGAAGTGGTGCGTGGCTGGCATAACGTGTGAAATCAGCTAGGTTGATTGCCGTATCAACCGATAGAACGACTGACATCTCCAGAAAACTTGTTTGTACGTGCCTCTTTCCCCAAGCCAGCCTCCTTCACTGCTAGTGGGAAAGAGGGTTTTGTTAACGGCCTTGTCGACGGTTTTTCTCAGTTTTTCTCCCACTGTCGTTCCACTTCGCATCTCTATACTCAGTTTCTTTCTTATCTTCAGTTTCCATAATACCCCCTTATTGAGCCCGACTTTTGCCTCTAATACACTCAATCTTCTCCGAAGAAAACCATAGAAGGTGCTAAATGTTGTATAACACAGAGAGGCACCAAAATTTTATTTCAAAAGAATTCCAAAAGTTCAGAAAATTCAAAAATTCCAAAAACTCAAAAGTTTCAAAAGAGCAAAAAGCTATTTGAAAAGAATCCTTTTGAAATCCTCCGCGATATTTCGGTGTTTAACACCTTCTTCAGGCATGTGTTTGCCACCGCCAAGTGTAAAGCTGCCCTTACGGGAGCCGCGCCTCTTGGAGTGAAAAGAAATAGATTTCTTTTTCTTTTCTTTTTTCAATTTCTTTTTCAAATAGCTTTTTGCTTTTTTGAACTTTTGAGTTTTTGGAATTTTTGAATTTTCTGAACTTTTGGAATTCTTTTGAAATAAAATTTTGGTGCCTCTCTGTGTTATACAATATTTAGGTGCTGATGAGGCTCCGGGACAGCACAATATCAGACATAGAAGGTGCTGTTGACTTTTTATCGCACTCATTCAGGTGCAAAAATTCTTCGAAAGCCGAGGAGTGTTGATGATGGTGTTTGATGCCACGCGAGTCCGTATTGTTTTGAATTGGGGCGTGACCGAGGAAGATGTGGAAAAGGTGTTGAATCACTATAAAGATTTCGTTCGTTCTCTGAGTAATTCTTAGTTTGATAGGTCGACTTTTGAGTTGAATCACCATTCGCTGAAATATGTTCTAATTTTTCACAATCGTAACTGTGTTTTTCGATTATGTGCCATAAATATTGTAAACCGTGTGTTTCGAAAAAAGCTCGCGCGTTCGTATGTTGCAGGCGACTGGGTTTGTAACACGCTTGGCGACTATCTCAAGAATCCGATAACACGTGCGCTTTCAGATGTAACCGGACGTCAAATGTGCTAGTAAGTCCGCATTTACGACCCGTCTCGCTCTGCGAAAGAGTCTATTTATCAATAGCGAGGCAAAAACCAATGAAACGAAATGCTGAAACATTCAACGTCTACTTTCTGACCAGGGAGATGGTTCAGGCCATAGAGCGCTTTTACAAAACAGGTTTATTGCATGTTATAGGGGTGGGTGAGAGGAACACAAAGGTGACCTCCATTTTTCCTGAACGGCCTTCTAGGTGTCATAAAAGGCGTGATGAAGTGGTCCAAGGTTCGATCCCTCGCGGAACAATTTTTTGCATTTTGTGTTGGCGTTTCAAAATTACGAAAAATGGCGTCAGCGTGAACAAGAGATGTCATATCTATAATTAGGACCATCAGCAACCTTTAGACTTTGACCAAAAAAACTTGTGAAGAATGTGCAACACCAAAACGCCGCCGATGTGGCGTCCAGTGGTGCCAGAGTGACGTGAGATGGCGTCAGGGTGAAAATCGTGTCGATGACGTGGTCGCGGAAGTACGACCCCCCCCTGAAATCGAGGTCTTGGCACGACCCCAAAACAGAGCATACGCAAAATCACAACAGCCGAGTGTATCGATCAACGGCCGATTCAACGGCAGCTGCGGCGCGATTTGTCCCTGGGTCAGATTTGCTGAAATCCCGAAAAAACCGTCGAAATCTACACCCTCGATGAAAAGGTTCCATTCCTCCATTTCCAACCTTTTGAACAGCACGCGGTAGGGTTAGATAGAGCTAGATTTGCTACTATCAGGCAGTATTGAATTGCTATGAAAGCCTTCCATTCGAAGAGATAGTCTCTCAAATCCGTCGAGGATGCTGAAATTTTCATGCGAGTTTTTGCCACTTAAAAGGCAATATCTCTCTAATTTTGCAAGATCTAAGGAAACGAAAACAGTTTTGAAAAGCGGAAGGTATGCGCTTTCTAAAAGTACCAGTTGGCGCCGCACGCATTGCGCGCACAACACAGATCTGCGGCGAATTTTGATGGTGCGACGAAAATTTTCAAATTTGGCTTGATACACCACGAATATCTGAATTCTCAGCTAAATTCTATCCGCTCCATCATCGACGGCTTTCAACCTTTTTCGTCAACCATTATCCTCTTTTTCTCGGTCTCCGGACTGCTTCCGGACAATAAATCTCGTGGCAAACTCCGCCTACTTTGGTGCGTGCCCCGCCCACCAATAGCATTTGGCCCCCTTCTTTTCGCCGACCTCTACCCCTTTTTTCACCTATCTAGGACTTCTTGGAACCCGAATTGCGACACTTCTGGCAACCTCCGCCCACTTCAAGCGTGCCGCCCATGGCAGTTGGCCTCCTTTCCTCCACCCACCTCTATCCACCTTTTCCCCCTCCTCCGGGACTTCTTGGAGCCGAGTTATGAATTTTCGTCGCAAACTCCGCCCACTTTGGTCAAGCCCCCCCATGACAGCTGGCCTCCACTCCTCCACCCACCTCTATCCACCTTTTTCCGGCTCTTTAAGACTTCCCCCCGAATTATGAGGACTTGTAGAAAATGCTGTACACTTCAGAGCGCGCCCCGCCCATTGTGGGCAGGCCTCCGCCCACGTCATGTATGCTGGGAACACCTTAGACATTGCTCCCTACACCAATTTGTTTTCTGCTCTGTAGGCTTTCTCCCAACCGAGTTAAATTTTTCATAAAGCACTGCTTTTTTGGAGAACGCCCCGCCCACCGGGGTGGGTCTCCCTAATTCGATGTGACTTACCAATGCACACCTTTACCCACTTTTTGGCCCAGTTTCGAGGTCGTTTTCTAAGAGAATTGGAAATCTCGGTCGTCAGTACACTTCATTTCGACGCACGCCACGCCCACTGTGGGCGGGGCTCCGCTTAGCTGATGTGTTTTGTACTTCGTGAGACCTTGCCCACCCATCCCACACTTGACCCGGTCCCTCCAGGCGGATCCCGAGGAGCTAGGGAATTTCGTGACAGACATACAGAACGACAGACAGACGACAGACGAAGCGCTTTATAGTAAGTAGGATGTTAGATTCCGTCTACTTTCTCTATTTGAGGAGATATTTGCGTCGAGGATGATTGCCGACTGCTCGAAAAGTCGCTCCCTTCTCACCATTGCAAGTGTAATTGTTGGCAACGCTCGAAATGTGTCTAGAATACATCTTCCAACATAAGCAATAGGAAAAGGGGCAATCGTCATCATCGAATTTTGTCTGAGTATAGGCCATGCATCCGACCTCACTCGAAGTTGCAGAATCGATTCGAAGGTGTCATATGATCATGACCAGTTGACAGAAGCTGCATTGTAGTAAACGCATTTCGTAACTCCTACAACCTGAAGAACAACTTCATTTGCCCAGGGCTTTTCCTTCACGGTTGTCGTTTTTGCGACAGCGTCCCTAACAACAGTGTCATTCTCAGCGAGGTATTAAGGGAGGGCGGAATAGAGGAGGTGCCTTTGCAGCGCGTGCGCACATGTGGCACTTTCTTTGCGGGGATGCACTTTCATTCTTTGTACTGCCTTCAAATACGCCCTTCTCATGAAGGTGGAGGAATGGAGCGACTGAACCTGCAAAGAAAATTTATATTTTTATATTTTATCTTTTTTTTCACACATCCTCCTGCTGCGCGGCGCCCTCTTACTCCTATCTGTACCACAATGTCACCGACGTTACTGAACCCCACGGGTACGACCCCCCTCGTGACCCTGTCGAGGGGGGACGTACCTTCTTCGACCGATATTCACCCTGCTCCCAAGTCCAACGAAGGTGAGGGGGCTTTTGGAACTGTGAGTTACCATGGATGGTGTTGGTCGACATGATAAACTCCGACAGTCTCTCACCCTGCTCATTCCATTCCATTCCGTGAGTACCGATGTGAAGTTCTTCAGCCGTTCTTCTTGGGCCAATCTTAGCGTTGAAGTCGCCGACGATGACCTTGAAGAAGGTATGATCTTCCCTGTAGAACTTCTCCAATTCCATATAGAATGCTTCGTGTTCTTCTTCGTCGTAGCTGGATGTTGGTGCGTAGGCGACGAAGATTGTCAAAGCAGGAGTTGAACCACATCTTCTCAATCTCAAACGTCCGATTCGGGTCGTAAGGCTTTCGTACGAATCGATGTTTATGGCCAAGTGCGTGTTGACGAGGACACCCACACCGCCAACGCCTCTGCTGTCTTATGTGGTGTCACTACCTCAATTACCCGCGATCCTGAGTTGTTCAAGGTTTGATCCCCGGGCGGGCTCGTGGTTGTGAGCCGTACGCCAACTACCCCTACGAAGCCGGTTGACTGTCTTACAGACTTGTCAGGGATAGAAACACTGACTTGTATCGGCTGGTCCCGCAAGTCATTGGGTAAACCAAGTTCAATTCAACATGCAGGAATGATTCTCAAAGCAGTGTAATGCGTGGCGCATCCCAAACAGAATAGACCAATGCCAGACGTTCCATCCCTTTATGCTTTACATATTCACCAAGTGTTGTGCAAGTGGTTATGAGTTTTGGAGTTTACGTGTCTATTACAATAAGAGGAGGCATTTGGATGCAATAGTTCGTGCCGATTACAGTAATCCCAATTTTCATGGGCGATGGTGTAAGGGGGTGAGTCATTCCGCAAAAATAATAGCACTGCATGTCCCTTGAGCGCAGAGAATCCACTGGGCCACTCTACCAAATGCCCCTCTCCTACCCCCCCCCGTGGAATAGACCAGTTTATTTCGGCTCAATGTGCAGGGGGTGGGAGGCAGGGTCAACCGTCCGTTCGAACTGTTCGAACGAAGGGGTCGCATTTTGGTCGGAAGGGGGTCGCAATTTCGAGGACTGCCAGCCACAGGCGCGTGCGTGGCGTATCCGAGGGCAAGAATTGTTTGTGCAGACCGCATTAGATTCGATTAATTATTAGATTCGATTATTATGCACAGAGAGACAGTTTTAGGCAAATTACGGTGTTTTCCTTGAGGAATAAAGAACAGTTGAATGCATCCCTATGAAAGGTTTGACTTCTCGGGGCTGAAATTAAAGTTCTTCGGGACCTGATTTTCTGAGGACGATTCTTCCAGACAACGGTAAAACATAAGAAAGCAGAAATCTCGTAGTCTTCAAAAATGTCTTCGCCCTCCCCAACAAGTTCTTTGAAGGAAGTTATTATTGCTGAAAGCTCAAAAACTCGCATGTGCTGCTCAAAAACCTGGGAAAAAAATGTTCGAACGTGTGATTTTCTCGAAAAATGAACTTTGAAAAACGGTTGGCTTGTTAGAAAGAGCAAATCCTGTACTTTCACCCCATGGAAAAAGTGCATCACAGAAATGAAAATGAAGTGAGTTATGGTCGCTGAAAGCCCAAAAACTCGCTTTTGCACGAAAAATGTTCGAACGGGACAATTTTTTGAAAAAGGGGACAATCACTAAACTTTTTATACTGTTTTGAGAAATATTTGAAGTTTCTGAAACTTTTTACAGATTTCCAAAATGTCGCATACGAAAGATTTTATGGGCCTTCAAAGTTGAAGGTGCGCCTTCTTAGAATTTTGGGTTTTCCACTTCTAACAGAAGTACTTTCCGGAGAGTTAGGCAATCCTTGTAGTTTTCTGAAAGCGCACCTCAGGCACAATCAAAATCTACCTCAACAAGTCAAAAAAATACGTCCCAAGAAAGTTATTCCCTCTAAAATTTTTTCTTCGCCGCGTCCCGTTCTTCCAGCGCCCGGGTGATACCTGCCGCGCTCCAAGGCTGACGCCGCAACGCAGACGCTGTCTGCGGCGGCGGCGCAGACGCTTTCTGG